GAGTATAAATGTACAATATCTCTATAAATAATACTAACGATATAATCTAATAACATATGCTACGTGTACACATATAGCGATATTAAGTATGAAGAATTTAATTAATGAAAACTTATTCGTTAAAAATACATTTTGCGGTAATATTGTTATGCACACGTATGGCTGGATAATTGAAACTCAAGAAATAAATGTATTACAGATATCCATTGTCGGACTACATTTAACATTTAAACTGCCTAAATAACATAATAATTTACGCAAATATAATATTAATAAAAGGTTTGTAGCCGAATTTTACAATATCTTCGGTCACATTAGCGACGAATGAATTGAAATTTTCTTAAAAAGCAAAAGGATATGATCGATGGTGTTAAACTACAAATGATTATATAATAATATTTGCATTATTAAATGCAGCTGAAATACATCATCGGCATCGGGAAGAGACTTGATTGTTAGAATGATGAAAAATACATGATTATTGGGAGAACGTAAATTAATAAAAGTTAGCTCGTATTTTAAGAAACGAAAGCTAAAAAGGTTACGAGTAAGCTCATTATTTTATCTTGCTGGTGCTTGCTGGAGATAATCTAACAATTCATTTTGAAAGTTGTAAGGAACAACGGTAATGAAAACACCAACTTGCTGGTACACTAAGTGCTGAATGTCAATGCGTGGTAAGTGAGAAAAATTAAGTTGTGCAATATGCAGTGAATAAACACATCTCGGCCTGTATAACGTGTATACCCTATCAAGCATCTGAAATTAATTTCGAAAGATTGAATTATGTTGTAATTTATTTAAAGTTGACTTATAATTTTAATGCAACGGTTAGAGTCTACTCGTAATATGGTGAGCTTATTTCATGAGAACGAATGGATGAATAAATGAACGATAAGGAAAGCATTATCGTATACCACTTAAGAAAGGAATTGTGATGCTTAAATTCGTAGGTACGGTAATAATAACGCGCACGCAATAATATTCGTATAGTGTAATATTTAATTTTTTGTCTCCCTATTCCGACTTAAAAGACACTTTTTATGAATATATTTTTAATATTTATATTTATATATATATATATATATATATATATATATATATATATATATATATATATATATATTTATTTATTTATTTATTTATTTATATAAAGATATATATATATATATAGATTGATTGATTGATTGATTGATTGATTGATTGATTGATTGATTGATTGATTGATTGATTGATTGATTGATTGATTGATTGATTGATTGATTGATTGATTGATTGATTGATTGATTGATTGATTGATTGATTGATTGATTGATTGATTGATTGATTGATTGATTGATTGATTGATTGATTGATTGATTGATTGATTGATTGATTGATTGATTGATTGATTGATTGATTGATTGATTGATTGATTGATTGATTGATTGATTGATTGATTGATTGATTGATTGATTGATTGATTGATTGATTGATTGATTGATTGATTGATTGATTGATTGATTGATTGATTGATTGATTGATTGATTGATTGATTGATTGATTGATTGATTGATTGATTGATTGATTGATTGATTGATTGATTGATTGATTGATTGATTGATTGATTGATTGATTGATTGATTGATTGATTGATTGATTGATTGATTGATTGATTGATTGATTGATTGATTGATTGATTGATTGATTGATTGATTGATTGATTGATTGATTGATTGATTGATTGATTGATTGACGCGTTACTTGCACGACCAGGACTTAAGCAATTGAATTTAAGACGCTGACAAATCGGGAAAATCGGGGTGAAGGCAAAAAACACGTGTAAATTGAAATGAAATTTGTACAGTGGTGCCGGCATAGGGGCCAACGCGAAAATTCGAAAATTCAAAGCTTCAAGCCGTTTGAGGCGTTTGAGGCGTTTGAGGCGTTTGAGGCGTTCGAGTCGGATCGAAGCGATAAACCATTCTCCTACACTAATAATAAATCTTCGATCTAAAGATCTATAGGCTTTATTGATTACGGGATATCGGGAAGCATTACCGGCCGATTAGGCTCGAACTCTTATTTTTAGATTGGAGGTTAGAGTCGATTTTCCAATACGGTGGCACTCGTGTTTTGTAAATACGCTGTAGTATTGTCAAAAACATAACCTACAATACGTTAAGAGGTGTCGCTTGTATTTGTTAACAGATTAGTTAGCGATCATGAGTAAGTATAGAAGAAAAGAGTCTTCGAGCGAAGATAGCGATAGCGAGGAAGAACGGCGGAAAAAAGATATTAAAGAAAGAGATGAATTTGCTAATCGTCTTAAAGTTAAAGATGAAAGTAAAACGAGAAAATTGGCATTACCTGCTGGTTCTGGAGCTGGTAAGAATTGCTTTTATTTTGCTATTAATGGGCTATGATTGTCGTTAATAGCGAATAATTCAGATGGTAATGTAAGAATTTGTTATTCAGTCGAGGCTGCAAAGAGGCTCAAAATCATGGAAGAGGAGTCGAAAGAGAAACTTGTCCCAAAGTTACGTGTAGAGTCGAGAAGGAAATATTTGGAAAAGCGTAAAGAGGATAAGGTAGCCGAATTAGAAGCGGATATAATAGATGATGAGTACTTGTTCAACGAGGAAATGTAAGATTTAATTACATAAACGATTAAACTCTACAAGATATTTTGATTTTAAATTTCATTTTAAATGGCTATGATTCGACAAATGCTTGTAGTTTGACGGATCGAGAGAAAAGGGAGCGAGCTCATAAGAAAGAGTTGCTACGATTGGCCAAAGAGCATGAAAAAGCGCGAGAACTTGAAAGAATCCAAAGGTATCATATGCCACTTGAAAATGGCAAAGCCGAGCCAGAGCAAGATTATAAGGATAAAGAGCCACCCCAGTCGGAACAGAGCAAATGGGAATCGGATCAAATGTCTTCTGCGGTATTCAAATTTGGCGCTAAAGATAAAAAAGGTTAAATCGATGACTTAAATCAAATATACATATGCGTTAATTTCTTAAACTTACTAATAATTATTACTATAGTTTTTATGCAATCGCTTAATCTTAAGCTGCCCATTTAGAAAATAATAATAATAATAATTGTATTGACAAACAATAATTTTGCGTACAGTTCAGGAAGTGTATGAACTACTTTTGGAAGACGAAGTTGAGTTTGTTCAAGCGCTGCAAATGCCCGGTGACAAAAAAGTGAAGAAAACTGAAGCAATATCTATGGAACGTAAGTTAACTTCTATAGAAGAAACCCAAAAGAGCTTACCCATTTATCCATTTAAAAAGGAATTGGTCGAAGCGATTAAAAATCATCAGGTATCCAACAGTTATATTAAATTATTATATTAAAAAATTGCTCCTTAATGTAACTACAAGGGAGTCCAATAATTTTATTTACAGATATTGATTATTAAAGGAGAAACTGGTTCTGGTAAAACTACGCAAATACCTCAATATCTGTACGAAGCTGGATTTACTAAGGATGACAAATTAATTGGATGTACACAACCGCGAAGAGTCGCAGCAATGTCCGTTGCTGCTAGAGTGGCTCATGAAATGGGTATTAAGTTAGGAAACGAAGTTGGTTATGCTATTCGATTCGAAGATTGTACATCTCATCGTACTCGAATAAAGTACATGACCGACGGTACGCTGCATCGAGAATTTCTCAGTGAACCAGATCTGGCCTCCTACAGGTATTTAACTTTCCATCAAACTACATTATTATTACATATTAAACGTCGGGTAAGAACAATATGCTTGGAGTAATTAATCTTTATCCCATAATCATAATTCTTTTCTTGTATCAGTGTAATGATTATCGACGAAGCTCATGAAAGAACATTGCACACCGATATTCTTTTCGGTTTAGTGAAAGATATAGCGCGTTTTCGCTCAGATCTTAAATTGCTAATATCATCAGCTACCTTAGACGCGACGAAGTTCAGTGAATTTTTTGACGATGCTCCAATTTTTCAAGTGCCAGGAAGACGATATCCCGTTGATATATTTTATACGAAGGCGCCCGAAGCTGATTATATAGATGCAGCTGTAGTTTCTATTTTACAAATACACGCAACGCAACCATCTGGTGATATTCTTGTATTTTTGACAGGTATTCAAATTTATAGTACATAATTATTGCATTGTGTATAAAGCGTCAGCAACGTGCAATTTAATCATCGTAAAATTGAAACAATATTCATTATTTTGTTAATAATAAGAAAAAAACAAACAAAGAAACAAACAAACAAACAAAATTGCTTATTCAAGGTCAAGAAGAGATTGAGACTTGTTTTGAAATGCTTCAAGAAAGAGTTCGAAGATTGGGTAGTAAATTGGGCGAACTCCTAATTTTGCCAGTTTATGCAAATCTCCCTAGTGATATGCAAGCTAAAATCTTTATGCCAACACCAGCTGGAGCACGAAAAGTTAAATAACATTGTTCTATCCCTATCGATAATAAATTTTCTTTAATTCTTGATTATAAAAAAAAAAAAACATTAAATTTTAGGTGGTTTTAGCTACGAACATAGCAGAAACTTCACTGACTATAGATAACATTATTTACGTTATTGATCCTGGCTTTGCCAAACAGAGTAATTTTAATTCACGTACGGGTATGGAAAGTTTAATGGTTGTTCCTATTAGTAAGGCATCAGCGAATCAACGAGCAGGAAGAGCTGGACGAGTAGCTCCTGGAAAGTGCTTTAGGTTATACACCGCTTGGGCTTATCAGCATGAATTAGAAGAAAACACTGTGCCGGAAATCCAGCGAATTAATTTAGGTAGATTGCGAACGATCAAAGAAAATGTTAATAATGCAGTTTATTTTATCGCTACGTTTCTCTTTAACGAAACAGCCATGATAAATCGTATTTTTTTTATCGTATCGTATTCCTATTCTATCGCGAGAATTATATTGATTAATTGTCTTACAGGCAATGCTGTATTAACTTTAAAGGCTCTGGGTATAAACGATCTCGTGCATTTTGATTTTCTGGATCCTCCGCCTCACGAAACATTAGTATTGGCGCTAGAACAGCTTTACGCCTTGGGTGCGCTTAATCATCACGGTGAACTAACGAAGCTCGGAAGAAGAATGGCCGAATTTCCGGTAGACCCGATGATGGCTAAAATGCTACTAGCAAGTGAAAAGTATCGCTGTTCCGAGGAAATTTCGACAATTGCCGCTATGCTATCTGTGAACGGTGCGATCTTTTATCGACCTAAGGATAAAATCATCCACGCGGATGCTGCTCGTAAAAACTTCAATGTACCGGGCGGTGACCATCTCGTTCTTCTAAACGTTTATAATCAATGGCAGCAGAGTGACTACAGCACCCATTGGTGTTATGAAAATTTTATTCAACACAAGTAATATCACATAATTGCGGCTATATGAACGTATAATATGCGCAGCGTGTATTGTTGTACTAATTAATGACGCTTTGTAGATCAATGAAAAGGGCTAGAGACGTGAGGGAGCAATTGGTGGGATTGATGCAACGCGTTGAAATGGATCTCGTATCCGGCATTACAGAAACAATTAATATAAGAAAAGTAATTAAATCTTTTATAGCAAATTACGAATGCTTATTGATAAAGCGTCGGAGAGCATTCAATTTTATAATATGCAATATTATTTATAAAAAAAAATATCGTAGGCCATCACTGCCGGCTATTTTTATCACGTGGCTAGATTGTCAAAAGGAGGGCATTACAAAACAGCCAAGCACAATCAGACAGTGTCGATACATCCAAATAGTGGGCTTTTTCAAGAGCTGCCGCGATGGGTTTTATATCACGAATTGGTATTTACGACAAAGGAATTTATGCGCCAGGTACATTGAAACGACGAAGGGCTCAATGCACATCAAGTGCCATGAATTTATCGTTTATGATATTTTTGTAGGTGACAGAAATCGAATCTAAATGGCTGCTAGAAGTCGCACCCCATTATTACAAAGCTAAGGAGCTGGAAGACTCGACTAATAAAAAAATGCCAAAAGTAGCGGGTCGCGCTCATTTGGATGGGACAAACTGAAGTACACAATAGCTTATTTATTTTGTACAGTTTTAGTAAATCTTAACGATAAAGCAAATTGTAATATACATCGTAATGTTAAGATATTTTTTTATATTAAATATACGTTATAAACTATAAGTTGTAAACTAAATATTTGTGTAAAATCAAATATAAATGAGTAAGGAAATAATATTTTGAAAGTTATTCTTTTTGTAAATAACTTTGAGACAATATAAAACTACTATTAAAATACGAATGATCGTCATTTTTAAACAATTAATTTTATATAAATTTTATATAAATAATTGTAATAAGAATAAAGATTCGTACTACTCACTGTTAATTAAAATATTTTACCGAATTCAAACAAAATAATCAATAAATTTTTATGAAATCAGGGGAATTACGAAATTTATGAAATTAAAGAAGACTAATTAAAATTTCATTTTGTATACAATAAATTATTGTTGCGTATAATGTAATTCACTCATTAATAAGATTAATATTAAAATATTTTCAATGTTTTATTATTTTGTTTTATTATATTGCTAATATAGTATAATAATAGTAACGCTAGAATTTTAATATTTTTCAAAAGTTCTTATTTGTTTGAAGGTCAGAAATATTTTTTTGTCTAAATTGCAAATCTATATTCAAAAGTTTATCCAATTTGTTAACGTCACACCATACATCACTATTAAGCAAATCAATTTACTCTACTATCCTAAAATATATAAAAGATTGCATTGTATTATTAATGTAAAAATATTATATTAATTTTTGTGTAAGATTATTTATTGTAATAAGAATATTAATATCTTATATTGAATCTGATACAAAATTCAATATCAAAAGTGCATTAAAAGCGAGCTTCAATGACCTCTTGATCATATATCTATAATATTTATGTTTTATCTCAAACGGCTTTACGGCTCGCTGTATTTTTACATTATATATTTAATAAAATAAAATTTCTTCATCTCCGGCATTGAATAGCATTTCAAATTAATAACGTTGTCACGTTTCCTCTGCTTTAAAGGGAATGGAATATTGGGGTTTACGAGTAATAACACATTTAATACATAACATACATATTCATTATTCAAGATTTTACATCATAATATAACATTATCTTTCTAAACACAACGCTAACATATACATCTATATGCTCAAATTGGTTTAATCATAAACTTTCTTATTAGATACCTGGTAATCACAAAACATTTTCTGCTACATTTCAAAAGAATAAATTGTCTTTATAGAAGTAAATAATTTTTTATGAAACAAACTTTATAACTCGTATATTATAAACTGAAAAACAATACCTCAATTCTATGTAACTTCAAATAATTTGCATACAAAATTCTATTAGAATATCCACATATTTATACATAAAAATTATTAGTAGAATGTTTAACAGAATTAGAAAATGAATGCCACTTAAGATAGTCCTATAAAATTAAAAGTGAAAGATTTCGTCAAAGATTTCGACGAGATTACAATAGGAGCAGTTGGGTAGGCGTGTAAAATTTCAAGAGAATCTTTCGCAATATAAACAAAATACTATAAGACGCCATCTTTGGCTGTACAGACTTTTACACAATAAAACCACCATATTTCTGTTTTTACAAATAAACAAAAATTTCAATACATAGATGTTTTGTTGAAGAAAAAAAAAAAAAAAAACCCCGAATTTACATTCGAGTAATCTTAAGGATCATAAATATATATATAATAAAAAAAAAAAAAATAAAAGTAAGAAAAAGAAGAAAGAAGAAAGAAAAAAAATAATAATCTTGACTATGTTGAGAAAATTCATTTCATAAGATAAATTGAACTAAAATATTTGAACCCTTAAAGAAGCTTGCGAAAAACTCATATTACTTCGAAATGAGAATTACCTTAAGTGGAAATGATTTTTCATTCTTTCATAGTAAAGCGTATAAACGAAATTCTCGTAAAGCAAGCAATGAGAATCTTTATACTGCTGAATTATGTTTTGCAGACTTTGTTATAATGCAATGCGCAAACTTCTAGCTACAGGCACTATTTATGTGATAAAAACTTAATATCTAGACAATAAATGTCGGTTAATCGCATTAATGAATTAAAATCTGTATAATAACATTCTCAAAGAATATTTTCTCGAACTTTGAGAAAGTAGGCAAGTTTAACAATAATCTCCATCACACGTTAACAATATTACAAGCTTCCTTTCTTAATTTTGGTTATCTTTTAATGAAACACATTCTTGATTATCAAGGCAATACATCATCAATAAAAATCTTTTCAAAACAATTAAGTAATATACTTAATAAGGGCACTTTTTCTTTTCTTTTTTTTTTCTTTTTTTATTTTTATCTATTTAATCGGTTATGCGAGTAGTAGTACAATCTGTATCAAAACTTCTGAATTTACTTTAAAAATATAGATTAGTCAGAAGCCTGTGTAAATAAGGCACACAGAATTTATTGTTATGTGATCACAATATTGACAATGCTTTGTTGCAGATAGTATTAAGATGTATTAGTAGTCACCATTAGGAAAATCTAACCATTAATAAAATTATTACATTTCAAGATACGTAGCGTAAAGTAGTTACGTACATTTAAAAATATGTTAAAATATTTTTCATTGTAATGCATAACTCTACTATGCTCTTCGTCATCGGTTTCGAGGTGTAAAAACGTAAGTTTGCTTAGTTATAGATACTTAAAAAAAAAAAAAAAAAAATTTAAATCTATTATCTTCTCTACCTCTTTTGTGTTTGGGCTATGGAGTGTCCAAGTAGTATATGCTATAACCATAGATCAGCATAAAATGCAGCTCGATGGAATGAATCGTCGGACAGTATTGAAGTAACTCGGTAATGTAAAACGCAAAACTGTTACAAAAGCAAATGCTATGAGATGCCTATCTTATATTTCGTATAATATTTGCAGTTTTAGAAATAGAGGTTTTGGTCCCAGCAGAGTGGATCTCGTCATCGTCAGTCATTCGATTCCTCAACCTCGAAGTGCATAGAAGGCTTTTTGCTTTACTAATAGCTGCTACAGTCGATGGATTATTAATTTCGCACAAATAAAACAACTAAAATTGCTATAAAACGATAACGCAAAACTTCCAAAGCATACGAATCCAACCACACGGGCGATAATAGCAAGCTTTAGACTTTTTATTTTTAAGATAGCAGCGGACGTATCGTTAAAGTATTTATGTTTTTTTTCTTTCTCGGGAATAAATGTTGTTACGAACAAAGAATTAATTATGACAAATGAATGTCATGCGCAAGAAGAAACAATACGGTAATTTACAAACTTGATAGGGAATTTCGCCAACTGTCTTGGGCATATTTCGTATTAGTTACTGTATTACATTGATTTCCACTTTACGTGCTCCGGGATAACAGCTGGCGCTCACGAAGCTCTACTTTAGCGATATTATTCTTTGTTCTGCATTAAAACTCGGCTTGAACAAAAAAAAAAAAAAAAAAAAAAAAAAAAAAAAAAAAAAAAAAATTTGCTCGCGTCACTCCATTGAGTATGATCTTTCACAAATCGTCACACACGACACTACGTAGAACATATTCATTCTTCGTCAATACAAATAAACCTGTTGATTTACAATTTGCAAAATCATCGTTAACAGATTATATTTACAGAACACGTGTGTATGAGTGTTACGCAGTTGGTAATAATTTAGAAATAACGCGCGGGATTATGCATATTGATGTTTCGTTCGGTAGATCAGCTCTTACTCCATTGCAAAAGATAATAGAAACTCGTATCATCGGCTCATCAAGCAAGCCTCTCCGACACGATATTAACGAAACAAACAAAAAATGAAAAAGAAAAAAAAAAAAAGAAAAAAAAAATAATAAAGAAGAAAAAAAAGAAGAAAACCAGCTCTACCAGGGAGATCGGCTATAGCGTACATACATATTCGTAACAAATCGCGAACACGTGCTTATTGATCCTCGGGTAGTGAAAGAATCTCTCTATGTCGAAAGAAAGGTCCAGGTGGCACTGCCCTCAAGAAATTAAATGATCGTAAATAATCGGTTGAACAAGTCGAGTATTTTGCTTAACGCGTTGGCTTGCATCTGTATAATCGACATCCTTACTTAACTCATTCGGCGCGTAAGAAATGTAATGTAAACGCTAAGGTGAACGAAAACCGGTGGACAAGCGAAATCTAAATCTGAGCTGGTTCGACATAATTTGCTGGCAACATTCCATGTCGTCCTGTGCGCTGCACCAGACCAGTCATCCATCCCTCGTCGATGGCTGTGCAGTTTATTATCAGATCTCCATCGCAGAAACTCACTTCGTCGTGATCCTGAGCTTCGTAATCGTATATTGCTCGATAGACGCGCTGAGAACATAAAAGAGAGTACTGTCGTTAGCCTTAAATATCTCAGCAATTCCCATTCAATCTTACGTCTTGGAAAATTTTATTTCCTCTCTCTCTCTCTCTCTCTCTTCCTAATTATCCACTTTATTCGCTAATTAAGAAATAATTTGACATTACTTTGGCTGAAACTTCCATGCCACGAGATCTCTACGTAACTTCTTCCACGCTGTATTGTTCGCTTAATCTTACGGATGTCGCTTTTTACAACGTCCCTCGGATCTATTTCAATAATACCACTACAACGAAAAATCATCTATTCTCATTATCATACGAATTATCGTTTTTAACATTGTGCATTTGATTTTATATCAATTTAGCTTTGCAGATATAAATGCAAACGTTTATCAAGTATATTTACTCCGTAAAATCAATTGTTAAAAAATTAAAGAAAATACGATAACGATAAAATGCGTTAAATAGTTGTATAATAATAATAATTTAAAATTCAAATTGTAAAATTAATTACGAAACATTTATCGGGGTGCGGTGGAGTGGAGGGGGAGGGGGGGGGAGGAGGAAAAAATATTTAACTTACGCGTGATAATAGCGTAATGGATATCACATACAAGCGATTCTAATAATTATTATTTGTTTTGTTGTTGTTTTTTTTACTGTTTTTATCATCATATTTCAAATAAATGCACAAATGGCAAATAAACGCTATAGTACGTTGAAAATGTAAGGCAAGAGTTGACGAAAATGGTTCAAAAGTTTTGAGTTTTGAGCTTGAAAAATGTTTATTATAATATTTAGAAAAAGCAAAGTAATTAATTACTCCTGTATTTGCTGGAGGTGGTGGCGGCTGATGTTGGGGGACGTGATTGTTGTTTGTGGCTGGTGTAAGTGAACCATAATATTCGTTTACGGGATCAATATCAGCAACAGAACCAATTTTTCTCGTTGGCGGATTCGTCACTAAATTGAAAAAAAACGAGAAACAGAATACATGCGATTATTATTATTAATTGTTTTTTTTTTTAAGTTGCATATAATATTTGCATATCATTAGCTTCGGTCAATATGTAAATAAGGGGAGGGAGGGAGGGAGGGAGGGAGGGGAGAGAGAGTAGGCGTAATTATAGAAATGACTATCATAAATTGAATTTCATAAACCGAATAGCTCAATTCTCTTTATCGTGCGTTCATCTTTCCGAGAAAAAGTAGCGCTTACAAACCGCATTGCGGGCAACTTTTTAATTGAGCGTCGTAGCGGCTTTAAATGCAAATAAATTCAGAAAATTAAACAAAATTTCGCAATCCGCATTGTGAAAGTTATCCCCGAATTATCTCCGGGGCAGCAGCAGCAAACTCACTCGACGAGTGTAAACTCTGCTTGGAGAACAGTGCAACTGACGTTGGGCAAGTAAGTCCGTAAATTTAACGGGACGGGAAATGTCCGTATGGATCCGCCGAATCGGGTAAAGCACAACATACCTGCACCCTTGTCGCTCGTGTAGATGACGGTGGTGGCGGCTTGCCTGGCCGAGTAGGGACTCGGCCTCGCTTCGCTCAGTGGATCGTAATCGGCGATCCTCCCGGGTGTCCGCTGCTGGACCGGCGACACCGCCGTCCGCGTCACCGGCGGCGCCGGCAGGTTCGCGTTCACGCTGCTCGCGGGCGCGATCGTGCCGTCTGTGTACTCGACGTACTCTGGACAATCGAGCGGACATGATATTTTAAAGGCTTTTTCTAAAATTGCTCTTTGCTCGCGACAGTGCGAGTGAAGCGTTTGCGTACGCGGTATTCAACTTACCAATCTGTTCACCGTTTTCACCGGTCATGGTCCTCTTTTGTTCCATTATCGCCTTCTTCTCGAGCTCACCGTGGTAGGCGACGTTCGAAATGATTTTACTGTTCTGTTTGACTCGCATGGTCTCTGGATCGTCGGCGACCTGGGTAAATTTGCCTTTCGCCTTCTCGAACTCGGCATGATATTTCACGTTACTTTGGATCTTCGTATTCTCGGCAATGCGGGTCAGTTCTGGCGTCACTGCCATTGTCGTCGCTTTTGCCTTTGGTATATGTCTGCGGAAACGTCAAGGATCGTTACTTTTTTTTTCTTTTTACCGTCAACGGGCTTACATTGTGTTTGTTCGTTGAAGCAACAGTCTGCAGCAGCCTGCATACCGAGATAAGTTTATCTGCTTCTTCTAACATTCAAGTTTATAAGTCTATTTCATTATACGTATGCATAGATTAACAGATTTGTTTTGAGCAAACTCTCGGAGAAAATATTGAGCGTCTCGTAATTTACATAGTAATGGCAACAAATAATATTTACCGTTTGCACTCGAGGAAGTCAATTTCTCGCCTTTTCGTTTTACCTCAATCGGCAATTTTGCAATTTTATTCGTAACAAATAGTTGTGCGCCGGTTGCTGGTCTTTTCCTGTACATTTTAATATTTTAGAATATTTCTCGCGCGTTATTGCGTAAGAAGCAGCTATTATGGTTTATGTGCAGCATTACAAGCGAGTGTAATTCCAATTTCACTTATCACATAATTAGACTGACATATTGGATTTGTTGTAACGAATGAAAGTTTAGAGCGCTCGTTCGATTACAAGCAAACATTTGATCGATCGTAATGTACAGCTCTTACGATATACGAAAAATTATGGCAAAAATGTGTAAATTGTGAATAAAGTAACGGGAAAGTATCGTTAACTAGAATGCAAAAGAGAAAACAGATGGACTTTTAACGGACAAATAAAAATGTCAAAAACTCACGAGCCACTACTAGTATTAACGTAATACAGACTAATGTCTACCACCTCGAATGATAATATCTTTGTAAAATCGATTGGCAAGGAAAAATCTTATTAACGATAACAATTATTGAATGTTGCCTGGAAAAATCCGACACCTCATTTCCACATGACAAGCAAACAATTTATCAAGCAATTCATGCAAACCGATTGATATTTAAAATAAAGTATTTATTGTTTATCGATCGTTTTATGCGATATCTAATGTGATTTCTAAAACTTTTCTACTTTGGAAATTTATCATTTACCCTAAATTATTACGTGCTCCTTAATAACTGATATAGATCAACAGTAATTCTGTAATCCAAATTAAATATTTTGTATTATTAATAATACAACGAGTGTCTTTAATTTCTATATAAATAAATAAATATATATATCTAATCCACTGTGTAAATGATTTAATCTAACATATTATGTACTTTCGTATGAAACGTACGTTTGGGCGAATCAATGAATCATCGGCTGATGTTTTTACATATGAATTAAAAAGGATTTCACTGAGAAAATATCGATTTCCATACACCATTCAAGCGCAATATTAACAATTTATAAAGTCTGATCAATCGTGTTATCTTTATTTATATGTGTGTGTGTGTGCGCGCGCGCGCGTGCGAGTGTCTCTCTCTCTCTCTCTCTCTCTCTCTCTCTCTGTGTGTGTGTGTGTGTGTGTGTGTGCTGATATATCGCTGTATAAAACCTAGATATCCGAGCGTAGCGATATTTAGGTGCGTTTACGACCCAAGGATGACAGATTTTATTTTTATCTATGAAATTGCACATTTGCTAATCGATGTGTAACGCAATGTTTAACGAGTAGAAAAACATTTATCGAATTTCAGCCAAACATTACTTTACGCACAAATAGAAATTTAACGATAATTTATGCGATAATACGCATTTATGGTACTTGAAAACCTGCGGCTTTATTGCATTGATTATACGTAGATGAACGTTGCATCCCTGGTGACGCAGTGGAGGGGGCCTAAAAATTATCGACATTTTGCAAATTATAATGGACGAGAGGAGGACTGGTGACAAGTTCCCTTAAAGCCATTTTTCTACATAAAGTGTAGACACTACGAGTCCTCGATCCGCCGTTTGTTTTACGGTGCCCAAGGATTAAATGAGTCTCAAGTTGACTTTGCCTCCCTCTCTGCGCCGGCGGTGCCGCTTACAGCGCCACTCTACTCTCCACTCGAATCTCCGGCCATCCGGTCTTTTGGGCATCGGCGGCGGTGTCAAGCAAGCGTGGAGCGCCTCCTTTAAAACGGCCAAGGGCCGTCTCATTAATCAGAGACTCGGGGTCTCGATCCCGGTCGCAGGCCCGTTCAAGCATCCCGCAGTTCCCGGCCCTCGGGCCCACGACAGGAGGACGGAGGACTCCGGGGCCTTTGCCGCGCTAACGAGGCGCTGCTGCGTGCGCGCACGAAAGTTCGCTCCCGTCCTCGGCCAGCGAAGCTTCCTCCCGCCGTGGAAGAGCCAAGGCGGCGAGAAAGAAAAGAGGAGGACGAGAGCCACGGCGCTCTCGCAAGTGCCGCGGCCGATCCCAGTGAAGGGAAAAAGAAACAAGATCGAAAAAAAGGATCGCATGCGAAATACGTGCCGTTGTGCAACTGAAGAAAGCGAAAGGTTTTTTTCCTTTTCGCGTGAGAGAATATGGCGGCCCCGAGGCCGAGGAAATATTTCGCGCTGTCGCGGTGCGATGTAGATGGAGAATGCGAGAAAGGAAGGTAAGGAAGGTAGGTAGGTAGGGTTTCCGGCGAGTGTATCGCCAGCCGGATTGATATCCTTTCAGCCTGGCCTCGAAGTCCCGCGATGACGGCCCCACCAAGTCGCTCGACGAGGTGCCGCGCTCTAGTAGCCGAAAACCGCGACGTTTGCCCCGGCTTCGGGAACTTTGTGCAAACGCGGCGCACCGTGTCATCCGTTGGCCAACGGTGAGTCAAGCGGGATGGAAGGGGTTCGTGCTGAAGGAGCAAGAGAATGAGGAGGGAGGGGGAGGGAGGGGGAGGGAGGAGGGGATACCGAGCGAGAATCGTAAAAGTGAAAAGGCCCGAGGCAGGCCGAGGCAGGCCCCGGTAGACCATCAACAGCAGCAGACACGGACGCTGCCGACTTAATTTAAAGGGTCATGGAAAAAGTTTATTAATCTTTTGCCGGAGGTATAGATTTCTTTTAGTTTTGCGAGTGGATGGGCGGTGACGGCGATACAGGGTCAGGGGGGAGTTGGCGAAACGAGTTGTTGTTCGCTATTCGTAATCCCGTTAACTATTATCCACTTACAAAGCTCTACTTCTGGTCGCGGCGAAGTAGTCGAGCGTTTCAGCTTCTCTGCTGTCCGCGATCGGCCCCACTCGAGCATTTTTATAATAGAATAATATTCCGTCGGCTTACTTATACGAGCTTCAGCACTTAACAAAAAGAAAAAAAAGAAAAAAAACAAAAAACAAAAATCTAATAAGCAAAGATAAAGACATTCGGAAGGGAGGAAAACTATAAACAGAGTGAATCAATATAGTCGGTAGAGCTGTTTGTTTTCTTTTCATGCAGATTTTATAACTCTGCTTACAAATAAAGTAGCGCAAAATCGGCGTACAAGAACCAGCTTTTATTCGCACACGAACAACTGCAGTATTTGCACATTCTTGATGACTGCTTAAGCCGATGAATCATGCCAACGTTTTCAAAAATCACGGTTTGCAAATTTTGCCAAACTAATAAGCTCAATAAGCTCAATAATGATTAAAGAAGGAAACGAAAAATCGATAATATTTGTGAAAATAGTCGCGGCTTTTCAATATTATCGATTAGATATACTTAAGTGACACTAATCACTAATGCTCGAGCAAGGTCGAATGTTTTCTAGCCTACAAAAGAATTGCATAAACTCAACGGGAATAAGGATTGCATTGCTTTACAATGCAATGCAACGAATACAAGTATTTTTAAGATCCCGTTGAACGACGAAATTTTCAATTTTATGGAAATATTTATAAACTAAATCCTCTCTCCTCTTCCTATTCCGTTTCATATTATCTATCTATCTATCTATCACTCTATCACACACACACACACACACACACACACACACACACACCGAATCTCTTTCAAGCAGTGCACGAAGCCGATGTTTATCCATTATCTACAAAACTTCGATTGCAAGTGCAATATGTGACATTTTTCCATATATTACGTAATTCTTTGATGATGATAATAATAATAATAATAATAATAATAATAATAATAATAATAATAATAAAAGGAAAAAGAAGAAGAAGATGAAGACCAAGAAGAACAATACATTCGCTAATGACGACGTATGCAATTAATTATAAAAATACAAACTATTTCAACAAACTTGCTCTTGTCCTCAATTCTAATATTAATAATGCATGTATGTTCAATTACCCGATGATTATATTATAAATGAAATACAATACAAAGAATAAAAGATGCTCAATTAAATTTACTGATAGACAGATTCATAGATTCATTGTTAGTAACTTGTTCGGATTTTTCTAAAATTAATATTATTTCTTACATTGAGCTCGTTATTAGGAATTTTTTTCTTCTTCTAACTAAATAAGACTCTGTACTTGTAAATTCTTTCATAAATTTCGCAAAAATTTCCTTTTGAGAATGCCAATTTCTGTCTTGTAGCATGGCTCGTACGATAACACTCATAATATAAAACTCACTGATAAAGCTCACAATCAGTCACAATAGTAAAACATAATCTTAAAAATAGCTACCTTTTGTTTAGACTACAATATGATTCAAAAATATGTCTTACATTGCAACAGTGCTTGCGACAATTTAATATCTTCAAAAACAGTGTATTTCGTAATAATAATTAGAATAAAATATATTCTATTTTACACTTAAATGACATTATTCAACATATATATATATATATATATATATATACAATTAAATATAACTAATATTCATTTTTATTATTTCAATGTTTCTCTACTATAAACCAGCATAATGTATTTTGTATTAAATACACATTATTGAATTATCTTTATAATCACGTGCTGTCTTGAAGTTATTGTGTGCAAAAAAACAAGGAGGAATTCCGAAGAGACTATTAATAAAATATTATTAATATTAATAAAATAATTTGATTATTCAATTTGCTTTAATTTATGATGTTTATCTATTGTGCATCTACTTATTTAGCACAGAAAACAAAATATTTTATACAAACTTAATTAGCTCATGATTTAAAAAAAATGCTTTCAACAAGGTTGATTGAATTCAACAAAGCCATGTTTATTATTATTAATTGTCAAATAATATTCATAATATTTCAAATACATTTGTCAACTTTGAGGAAACGTGACCTATTTTTTTGTCTATTTTTGTTTGTTTGTTTTTATGAATATTTTTTTTTGTACTTGAATACATTTATATTTGCAATTTACTTAATAGACAAACAATCGCGTGATGGAGGATCGAAAACTATCAAATTATTATTCCAATTTTCAGAATTTGTGAAAGAACTTATACTTTGAAAAGTATATCTTTCTGATTAAAATATATTTAATGTTAACTAACGCGTTTATATTTACATAAAAATAAAAATAACAGATTCATAAGATAAAGCCCATATAATTATTTAACTAATTATATTTTTATTATAATTTTAATAAAATTACTAATTTTTTATATAATAACTAAATAATAAAAGTAAATACAAATTAAATATATTTGCTACTATTGTAATACTATCGTACAAACAAATAGTCAATACGTCGCATTTTTATTTTAACTGAAAATAACTACTACCATACAGCTACAACATATAATAAATATCAAGTAATATTTCACATGAGAAAAGTTGAAAAAAATTGCATAAAACAATCTCGAATAATATGTTACGAACGATAGAATATGGATGAAAAACTCCCATCAATAAATCGACATTTTCATAAATGTTCAATGGTGAAAAAAATTTTCCTATGGAAGACCATTAATCCAATCTATTAATCTATATAATATCGCTCCAAATATATTTTTCATATTCTTTTAAGGTCATTTTAGACATAAACACATAGTTTTAGAGCCAGATATTAAAATATAATTTCGGTATAATTATATAATTATTATTAATAATAATTCAGATGCATGTAGAAGCTGGAAAATTTTATAATTAAGGCATTAATGTTTCAAAAGGCGATTTTTTCACCAGCAAATATTTATAAAGAATTTCAAATGTGCGTGAACAAATATTATATTTAAGCAAAAAAATAAATAAATAAATAAATAAATAAATAAATAAATAGAAAATAAAAAGAAAATTGATTTTATAAATAAAATCTCGAAATATGTTTAATTATGTTTTCATAATAATTTGATATTAATTGATATTTCATAAAAAAAAATCTAATATTAAGTAAATAAACTTTATGGCTACGCTTAGAAATTTGTACGTAATATTAAAAAACAACTTTGAAAAAAAATTGTTAAATTTAATAACTTGATATCGTCTTATTCATAATGGGTTCTATAAACTCTATATAAATATCTGCAAAAGTTTCTTTCTTCAAAAGTAACAATGTATAATGTACATTTAGCGTAAACAATACATTATTAAAAATATAAATATTTATACGAACGACGCATTAAATATTTATAAATAAACATTACAATAGCATGATTAGTACTTTCTTAGCAGCAACTTTGCTTTATAAATTTCAAAGTGTGAATATTTCATAAAATTGGTTTTAAATCATAAACACTATGAAAGAAAACTGCTTATGAATGAATCTCTAATGGTGCCAATTCAAATAGTACAAACTTCAATTTAGATATAAACAAAGTTTAAGCAGTCAATAAATAAACATTAAAATGCTAAACTACTAACTCATTTTCAGTTGTATATTAAGAAACGCGACAATGTCGTAAACATACGTGCGTTAAATTCTTTTTAACCATTCTTAACTTTAAGACATTCTTATCACACGTTACGTTTTCCCGCTTCTTCCTCAATTTTCATTGTACGCTGACTCACTTCATCATTCAACAAATTCTATTTTCAAATTATCTCTTTTTTCTCTCTTCCGCTCCACCCTTATAGTTTTATTTATTTATTTATTTTAGTTTTTGCTATTTTGCAACATTATCATAATGCTACTAAGTAATAAAAATTTATGCTTCATAATTCAAACTGTTAAGATTCACAGATGTTTTTTTTTTTAACTAAAATAATAGTATTTTCATAATTCAAGTTGAATTTGGAAAATTGACTAATGCCAATTAAGATAAAATCTACAACTTTTGTATGACGAAATAATTCACTGAATCTTCCATAAAAATAGTTAAGCCACTTCTAATAATGCCAATTGCAATGATAAAAATTAATTAATGATTTTATTTTATTCACAATGGTATAGTTTTTTTACTATGCAGCATATAAAAAATTATAGCAATCATAAAATCTACTGATTTTTACATGAAATATTTTATTCAGATCTTTTTTTTATAAATTATTTTGCTTATTAATAATCTATAAATAAATAGTTAATTACATTTAAAAAGAAAAAAAAAACATTGAGTAATAAAATCAAATATATTATTTTTCAAATTTCAACCTATTCGACTTATTGTACTAATTAATAATTCTTTTATTTGATAACAGTGTTCTTGAATTTTATAGATGCATGTCTCACGTTGCATGATTTACGGACTTTAGTCAAATTTCCAGCGTGTTTTAATGATTTTGAACGCGAGATTCTCTATTAACATTGCATTCCGAGATTTCTAAATTTACAATAACAAAATCATCAGCAATTACGTATAAAAACCAACGGAAAAATTGCAATCTTCTGCAGGAAATGACGTTAGACTGCGATAGTTAATTTTAAAATAATTTACACTCATTGAAAATATTGTACTTATTATACTATTTGCATATTTCATTGTTTGTTTGTATTTTTTTTTGTTTTTTTTTTTTTTTTTTTTATCTATGATCAGTATGCAGGAATTCGTATATAATACCAGGCAACGCGTCTAAAAAAGAATTTGGTTTGTCACTAGTAATAAATGTAAATATATCTCTTAATATTCTCAACGTTGCTCTACACGTATATTGATTTTAATCATCAGGATTGTTGTAGTTACTGATAAGTACATAATGTGAGAAGTATATCAGCAGGGAAATACAGACTTAAGCATACCACCCCCTCGGCACTTCTCAATTATTTATTTTTGTCTAAACACAAAAGCCACCTTTTATTATCGATGATTTCACTGTGTTACTGACAATGTACACTTTCCAAAGCAATCACTATTGAAATTTCTGTAATATCGCATCCGCATGTACTACAAGTAGAAAAATTGCGGTAAAATATGTAAAGCGGCAAAACAATGCATTAGCTTTGTCGTTCTCAGCGACAAGAAAATGTCCTTTTTTCGTTCATTATACAATGAGTGAAAACGCTCTTTATGCATACATCCGATTGCATGTATAAAACGAAATTCGCACAGGAAGGCGAAAGACTCAAGCGTAAATTATCAAATTAATAAAATGCAATATGAACTTACGCCTCGCAATATGGTTGTTTGTTGAAACCTTTGTACGTCCTCATATTGAGGGTCATGCCACAGCCCTGGCATTTGAAACACTGCTTGTGCCATATCTGAAATAATACAGTTTTATTTATAATAACAGGTATAAACGACAATAGTTGAACATACGATAGCAGTATTAAAAAAGATTAAATATTCAAGAAACGGCGTTGAAAACGGCTAACGAAAGGTTATCGTTATTTTCTTATAAAATACTGGCGCAAGTATTTTGAAAAATAATTACTCTTACAGTTGTCCTCGATGATGCAATATATATTTTCCCAATCTCTTAAATCTCGATAATTACATTAAAATGATACAATATTTATACTTAAACTCTGTTAGAAACAAACACGCTTGTAACTCAATAAGGTAAGGTGTTTTTTAATAAAAACTTGAATTTCAGTGCTTTAATCAAAGGCCATTATTATTCAGATGTTAACAATAATTTATAATTTTCAAATTACGTTTTCACGTGTATATCTTACTCAATATATCTTCTTTTATTTATTAGGAAATTTCAAAATTCATACATATATATAATTATTTATTTAATATTTTTTATTGGAAAAAACAAAGTATTTAATATTTGTTTTCATTTTCGTGTATATGTACATTAAAATTAATAATATATTCATATATATAGAAACGTAGTACTAAACTTACAAACTTCAATCAAACATTGTTTAAAATACTAATATTTATATTATTTTTAAATTCAACGACTTTATTGACACAAGAAATAACTAGGTCGATTACCATCGTATTAAATGTATATTTTAACATTTTCGTAACTATCATTCTAATCATTCCATAGAAATATAATGCTATTGACTATTTATTCCATTATATTTCTAATATATTATTACATGCATACTTACATGTATATTTATAGGATTATTGACACCTGTAGTTTTTACATTGAACTCTAAATCTATGGGATTACAATGTGGTGCTTAATAATTAAAACCTAATAATTATATAGATTACGTAAAAAATATTGCATTAGAATATTAGAAGTGCGCACGTATGCATGAAATATTTTATCTATTATACTATATAATTATTAAAAATAATCATTTTGTATGATATAGCAATTAATCACATTGTATAAAATGTTTTGCGTAGAAATAAACTTAAATTTAATAATTAATTACACAAGAAAAAAAGGTAATAAAGCTATTTTATTTTTAAACTCCAATAAATTATGTTAATACATCATATATTCAAAAAAATTTTTTTTTATATACTTTAAAAAACTTATTCTTAACTAAACAACAAAAATGTACTTTCAACAAATATTCACTAATACATAGCACATATCGCAATATGTTTATTCTAATCTGCTACAGTTTTGAATATGTTTGGGTTACTTTTTTATTGTACCCAACTCAAATACTTATCATCTTAGCATTTTTTTATTAAAAGATTTTATTCAAGCATAATTATTAAAATTAAAAGGATAACAGTTTATTTTTATGCTCAAATTGTCGGAACTTAAGTATTCACTTAATAAATATGAATTCTCAAATACAAACAGAATAATAAGTGGCCCAATTTGTTAACACAAATAAAAAATTAAAGGTAGAAACGATAATATTTAATTTGACATTATCCCTTGTATAAAAAAGTATCGCAAGCGAATCGCACATATAAAAAAATTTTATTATAAATAATTTATTAAATGTTATTTTGAAATATTAATATAAATATTTTGGTAAAAAAAAGAAAAAAACAACTCTCTAGAAGATTTAATATTCCAATCGTATTATGAAATAATAAATATAAATTATTTTAAATGAAATATTTATAACAATAATTGATGGACAATGAAAATTTGATCGATGTTAATAGTTTTATTATACTTATATCTGTTTTGATACAAAATAAAAAATTTTTTTACCGTAAATATACATCTACATCTGTGTGTATGCGTGTGTGTGCGTGTGTGTGTGTGTGTGTGTAGGGGTTTTATTAAAATTTTAAACAATAAATAACGTGTGTTTTTTCCTCAAAATACTCATATATTATTTACGCTAATAAGCTCTGTGAAATTTGTTCTAAATTTTCGGACAGTATAAGCTAATTTTCCGAACAATTCCAGATTTACAGATAGCACATTTTAATTATATTATCATTAAGACGCTTTTCCCACAACCGAGAGAATTTATCCATTACATTATCTATATTATTGCATTTAACAAAGAGATCAAATACATTTATAATGTTAGTTTATCAATTATTATTTTATAATCATTCCAAAAGTGCAAAACTGATTTTTAAACCCGTCGGAAATAAACTAGAATGTATAGAACATAGTTTGTTTTAAAATCTTTTACGACGCAAAAAGCAATGCGTGTGCGCGTGCGTGTGCGCGTGCGTGTGCCTATAAATAATATTACAATGTTAACTTTGCATTTTATAATGCATACAGATTCTTCCGTCGTTTGACAGATCATTTCGATAAATTAGTTTTTTCGAATAATTAATTTTTTTTCGCCAATATTTCTTGTCAACGACTAGATGAAATAATATAAAACTGACTAAAAAAATTTACATTCATCAAATTAATAGTCTCATCATAATTATTGCTCAAATTATTTATGATTCAGAGATATAAAATTACATACTGTAATATTGCCTTTCATAGCTAATATTACAATAAACATTTCATTTTAAATTCCATTAGAATTGACTATGTAATTAAAATTGAATGCACATTGAATAAATGTTTTGACATTCTGATCAAATTAAAGGCTTGATATTTATAAATTAGAATGTTTAATAGATCAATTGCATTAAGTTTCAATAAAGGCTGGGAGAATGTTTTTACAGAAAATGATGTGTAATAGTATATTGATAAAAATTAATAACCTTTCTTATCGGAGAAGAATTTTACATAATACAATTGTATTTCAAGTTTTCACAATCACTAGAATTCAGTTTTAAATATTTTCTGTATAAGAATTTGAGCTGTATACGATTCAAATAATCAAGATAAAACGTTGAAGCACTGTAATGTCAATATGAAATGGTGTGAATTTAGTTTATCTTTAAATTCTATTGCCGTTCACTGTGTTGTGTGTCAACACTTATTTAATACTTTTAAAACTCTCTTTGCAACCGTAATTAAAATCACAAAAAGTTGTATTTAATTTTGAAAATTCAAGATGTAACACTTCTAGTGGTATTTGACGCTTCGATTGAAAAAATTCAATTTTAAATACAAAGGCTGACTCAAATTTTTCTTTTAAATTACATTAATAAGATGCAATTATCCACATTTGTTAATAATTTCCTATTTTTTCCCCATCGTCTTGATTTTCTTTTTACTATATAATTTTTCTTTTAATTTTTGTTTCCATTTTACCATTCTTGAGATATAAGATGTAAGAGAAATGTTAAATTTGAATACGTTAAATATAAAGATTAAGAAATAAATTTTGATCATAGCTCTATAAATATTTGGCATTTTGTTATTGAATTTAATACTTAATATTAATTTGATAAATATTTTTCATAAACTTAGAGGCTTACCTATTTATTTCATAATTTCAATTTTTCATATTAAATAAGCTTATTAAAAAGCAAATATTATAAAATTCCTCTATTTACTAGCGCACAATGTACTATGTAGTTAAACTAAAGTACACAATCCAAAGTCGCTTGCCTTTGGCTGATATTTAAAGCGTGAATCATTATAATGTCATTAAAAGTTTTATCTATTCTGCGACAGATCTTCACTACGATTGGAATTTCATATTTCTTAGTCTATGTATGTTTATCTAGAATCAGACTATACAAAAGCCCCTCTATAACACTTGATTCTTTGGTACATATTGATAAGAGAAATTACATATCATTAAACAAGGTGTTGGGCACTTGATATTTTATTTAATCAATTACCCGGAGCAAAGATGCTTATTAGAGGGACATTCTTATGAAATATTAAAGATATTCCAAGGATGATATGATAAGAGACACGAGGAAGGTCTAATGCCGACTATTATTTCCATTTAAATATCATTCCTATGCAATAATAAATACGATAAATCACTTAACGCTTAGTAAATGTAAGTATTACGTGCATTGTTCGTTGAGTATTTTGATTACTCGAGCGGCGACATACCCAAATCACATTCACAGTTTTGAGGTTAAGATTTTACCGATGATACCCCCCCCCCCCCCCCCGCCGCCCTTAAAAGAATCTTTTTTCCTTATGTTGGCGTAATTGAATCCGAAGATCCCTTGAGATGGTAACAGTTGAATCGTGGTGATTCTGCATTGAGCGTACAATAATTTTGGCAGCATCCGAAGTCTTAAAAAAAATTCAGCTCACGTTAATTAAGCGAAAAATTATGCATTCTTTTTTTTTTTTACGCAAATTACCGTGCAAAAAAACATGTCTCGGACCTCATTAAAGCTCGATAAATCATTGGTAGAGAAAAGTTACGACAAAAATATCGCAAGCGGCAATAAATTCTCACTATCATTACCAAACCATAAAACTATCGAGACTTTAATATGCATTTAAAACTTATTAAAACAGCTTCGACAAAACTGAAATCTATTCACTCTTCTTAATCCTCTCTCATTCCCGATTAACGATATTATGGCGGAATGTCGAGGTGCGAGCATAATGGTCTTTCCCATCTGGATATTAGCAGCAGCAACAATAAGCGCGTTGATTTTAACGGTAAATAAGAGATTGAGATAAAAACGCGAAATAGTATGTATAAATATATCGGACTTTCACGATGCACTTTCCTCATTCAGCATCTCGCTTACCGTTAAATCGTAAATGCTGAATAATACAGTTGTCGAGCGTACGATTTTTCAAAAGCAATAAAATGCACGCGGAGCGATATTCGTTCCCTCGGGGCCGTGAGGCTCGGCGTTAAAAACGAACGACTTTGCGTTTCCGTTCGGAGCGAAAAACCTCGTGAGATTTACAACGATCTTGGCCGCGTTCCCCGTTGGCCCCCGGGTGCGATGGAACGCTCGGGCCCATTGTGAGAGGAGAGACTGGAGAGACGGAGATAGAGATAGAGATAGAGATAGAGAGAGAGAGAGAGATAGAGATAGAGAGAGCAACACCGAGACAGATGGACAGGAGAGAAGCTGTCCGACAAATACACACGTGCTACAACATGCAGGGCGCAGCTGCGTGCCTACGTCGGTGCAACGCGCGCGCCTATGCCAAAAACCAAGCGCACGGCCGAGGACAGCGGGTGGGGGCGTGAGGATTGCGGAGGATTGCGGAGGATTGTGGAGGATGCGGAGGATGAGGAGGAGAAGGAGGAGGGAGAGGAGGAGAGAGCTCGAGGGCGGGGACGGGGGCGGGGGGGGGGGCGAAG